TACATATGAACTCTCTTGCTTGATTCTGATTGGCTCATGTGAGTCATCAAACTTATCACATAAGCTATGTCATAAGATTGCTTGTGATTGGCCAAGACATGTCATTTTAGACACTTGGCAACTCTTGATTGGTCTGGGATTGCCACATATTTTAACACGTAGCATCATCTTGTTGGCTTTGAGTTTGACTGGATATGTCATGTCACTTGGCACATGGCATGAGTCCGGTCCTTAAGATGAAATGGACCTTTGGCTTAAAAATAATAAAATGGACGAATTTCATTTGTAAGTCCAAATTAATTTTTTAACCCAATTGAATTTAATCCAATTTTTTTATGAATTAGACCCAATAAATTTTATATGTCTACAGTCGTACATATATACATAACTAAAATCATAATAAAAATAGTTATAAAGGAAGAATACAAAAAAAAAAAAACTTCAAGCGATATCATAAAAATGTATATACTAATTAAATTTCTCATGTGGGAAATTTTAGTTAATAAATAGAACTCATAATTTAATAATAATAATAATAAACACAAAAATATAAAAATACTATTTCGATATTATACACAAGATATATATATTATATATATATATATATATNACTTTTGATAAATTCAAAAATTATAATTTAGTAAAAAAATATTATATTATTTAAATTTTCAGTAAACAAAAAAATGAGAGAACTAATCAAATATTACAGTAGAAAAGAATGTACGAAAAGAGGGGTGATAAATATAATTTTATATAATTTAATTTTGAATTAATTAAAAATAAAAGATAAATAAATAACACTCAATTTTGTTTTTGATAAATTTAGACCATTGAAGAATTTTGAACAGTATAACATAAGTTTAAAAAAAATTAAAAATATTTTCAGAGTAAGAAAATATATATTTATGTTATATTAAAAGAGAAGTAATATCAAATTATTAAGCCAACTGACAAGTTAATAAAAAATCACATTTAAAAATGTATAGTACTAAGTACTTGCTAATTTAATAAAGAATAAATAAGGAACAAATAATTTATTTGATTACTATATGATATCTATCTTTTGATATTGTATAGATTTTGTGTATTTTTCTACACTATATAAAATAATAAAATGACAATTAAAATTTATTAAAATAATATGATATATTAAATTATAATTTTGTAAGATTAATATTCTGTCAAATTATGGGATTATGAGCCTAGTACTATTGTAAATGAGAAGAAATTGGTCTGCTTTCATGGGTAGTTATGAATCTTTCCGGAAACTCTCTACCACCCATACATTGGGAGTTGGGACCGAGTCCGTGATAAGATACGGAAATATCAACTTGCAGGTAGTGGGATACCAATGTGATACGTTCACCATAAGATTTCGTGCCCTGCGCTTTTCATTCAATGCCCACACTCTTCACACGTGTCTCTTTCAACAAATATCATAGGCATTGTTATGAAAATAATTATATTGTGGATGTCCATTTATTTCTCCGCTATAGATAATCTTCCTGGAGAAGATTATCCATTTAGTACTCTGTTGAAGTTTATCTACAAGCAGTTGATGCAGGCAGGTTGCAAGCAGCTCAATAAAATGATTTGCAGCAGCTTCTTATTAAACAGGCAGGTTGCAAGCAGCTCATGCAGACAGCTTACAAGCAGCTAAAGAAAAGCCTTGCAGCTGCTTCCTGAAAAGCCTCGCAGCTGCTTCCTTTCTTCTATAAATAGAGGAGTTTTCAGTTCATTATGAACATAAGTTTGAAGTTTGAATAATATATCAGTTTCTCTCTATACTTGTCTTTACTTTACTGTCCTTATTTTATAACACGTTATCAGCACGAGACTCTGCCATCTCGAGAAAATACTTTGAAAGTATCAGAGGTACGAACTTTCTTTTTCTAAATAATGTCAAATCTTTCTAAACTTGAGTTTGTAGCTCTGGATATATCGGGCAAAAGCTACATGTCTTGGATGCTTGATGCCAAAATTCATCTAGATGCGATGGGTCTGGCAGACACCATCAAAGATAAAAATCTGGCATCAAACCAAGACCGTGCCAAAGCAATGATATTCCTACGCCATCACCTTGAAGAGGGCCTGAAAATGGAATATCTTACTGTTAAAGATCCAGTCATACTGTGAAATAATTTCAAAGATAGATATGACCACCTAAAGATGGTCGTTCTTCCACAGGTACGTTATGATTGGACTCATCTAAGGCTACAAGATTTTAAATCTATCAGTGAGTATAATTCTGCTATGTTCTGAATTATTTTCCAATTGAAACTATGTGGTGATAATATTACTGATCATGATATGTTGGAGAAAATTTTCACCACTTTTCATGCCTCGAATATGCTCCTGCAGCAGCAATATCGAGAGATGGGATTCAAAAAGTATTCTGACCTTATCTCACATCTTCTTGTAGCCGAGCAACATAATGGGCTATTAATGAAAAATCATGAAAGACGGCCTACTGGTTCTTGTCCATTCCCTGAAGTGAATGAGACGAACTTCCACCAAGCTAAGCGTGGAAGAGGACGTGGCCCCAATCGTGGTCATGGCCGTGGTCGGGGAGAAAACTCTAATCGTGGTAATAACAATACACCAAAGAACCCTCCTCACCACCAGCAGTGGAAAAGGAAGGAACAAAAGCATGAAGCGGTGCAAGCAGCAAAGCCAAAAAATACATGCTATAGATGTGGAGGAAAAGGGCACTGGTCACGTACATGTTGTACGCCAAAGCACCCGGTTGAGCTGTATCAAGCCTCCCTGAAGAAGACAGAAAAAAATGCTGAAGCAAATTTTATTTCTGAAGATAATTTAGACCTCATGCATTTAGATGTAGCTGATTACTTTGCACTCCCAGAAGGAGAAACAAGTCATGTGATCGATGATGAATCTGTAGAGATATAAATATTTTAATTTTTGTTGTTTGTAGTAGATAGTATGGTTATGTAATAGTTGTACATAAATAAAAGTTATGCTTTGATAATGATGTTTACTATCATATTTATTTTGTTTATGTCATTTTGAAGAATATGGATAATCCTCAAATTATGTTTGGATCAAAGACCAATCATGAAGATATTTGTGTAATTGATAGTGGAACAACTCATGCCATATTCAAAGATCAGAAATACTTTTCTTATTTGCATAAGGAAAAAGCAAATGTTTCTACAATTTCTGGTAATATAAGTTTGATTGAAGGCTCC